GAAGTGGGGAAAGGTGAATACAGAGGGCTGAGCAGCAAGTGCAACCATCAGCACTTCATGATGTGTTATGAAGTATAAGGCTCTGTTCTTTTATTTATATGTATCTATACACTTACTTGGTAACAGCTGAAATATTTTACACTAACAACAATAGCAGATGTCAGAATAATCAATCTCATTTCAACTTGTTCTGCTAAGCTTGAGCAAATCATATGCTTTCTGTGTTTGACACAAGAAATGCAAACTGGAAGACTCTTCCAAAATAGCAAATCTGAATGACTGTAATTAAACTATTAGCTTTGTTTCCTGGCAAAATCTACACCAGAAAACCCTCTGTGTACATGCAGTTTTTATTACCAAGAAAGAATGGTGTATCTTAACTGTATCTTCCTGCAAGTTAAATTAGTTAGTCTAGAAAAAGTATTCTTTTATGATTCTCAGCGCTATTTTATGCTACCCTTCAGCTAATATTTGCAGAGCTATTCCAGAATATTTTTCTTCTTTAGTTGCTTCTCCTGTGTATTTCAGTCTTGTTAGCTGGGTTGTTATTCTGGTATTGTCAGCAGAGTTCACACAGGGAGCCAAACTGACGTAACTATTCCAGAACAACTCATGCCAATAAGATCATATTGTATTAAGCAATTTCTTCTTTTCTTATTGCAATTATGGACTTCTAGTCTGAAGCAACAGATCAGGTCTCAGTTTATTTTACATGACTATTTTTGGTCTTATTTATCCCAGATAATTTGGCCAAAAATCATCTTCCAAATCTGTCTGGAGTAACTGAAAGTCATAATGATTAGCTGTGTTTCTGTCCTTTTAACACTACCACCGTTTCCACAAACGTGAAATTGTTTCCTAAGTAAGTTGTTTATGTGCAAAGTCAGCTGTATTAGCAAACCTCATTTTCACCAGCAGTTTAAGCTACCCAAGGCAAACTGATTATAGCATGGTATTTTATGTATTTTGTTCAACTGTCTTTTTGGGAGGAACCACGCTAACCTCAGTGAGGAAGCTTAAAGCAGCAGCTGTAGCATAGTGACTACTGACAAGGCTTCAGCTGTTTGCAAACCAAGCACTACAGCTTCTCCCAAATCACTGCTCCAAATTGCTTACGTGAAATCTTCCTTTGTACTGATGTGATGAGCAGTGTTTGTATGTCCCATTCCACTGGCATTACTGAAAGAGGAATAACCCCTGAGACACAAACATTAGTGCAATTTTTTGATTAGCACAGCTGTTTCTGAAATGAATGTCTGAGCAGTCATCTATAGATGTTCACATAGCTTCCTTGCCAGCAGAATTACATCAACTTATAAACCAACATGAACTAAGCTGACACAAGTTCAATTGTTGGTTTGGTTTTGGTTGTTGTTTTTTTTTTTTTCACTGTGTTCGCATTAGAGGTTTTGCTGGCCTGAAGGTGTTGGCAAGGGACATCTGCTTACATAAGCTATTTTTGTGAAACTTTGTAATATACACCAGGTTTTTGTATTAAACAAACCACAGCACAGTTGTCTACACGCATAGGATATGCTTTGTGTGCATTCCGAGGTGCCAACCAAAGTTTAAGCCTACCTGAGAAACAAATAGCTATGAAATGCATGCAGATAAAAAACAGACACTTAAGCACTGACCCATTTGTTAAAAAACATTACATTTTTCTTAAGTATACCTTTCCAGAAGTTTCTTGAAAATTATATTAGTATAGAACTATTAGCAAGAGCATAATACACAAAAAAAAGCCTATCAAACAATACCCACAAGTGCAAATAAAATCATTCATTTGCATGACAAACTGTATTTTTTCAAAGTGTAAATGCATGTGTATGATGCACATATATGCCTTCTGTAGTGAAATTTCATGTAATACATCTACTGTTCCATTGTATTCTTTTTCTCCATTATTTATCTGGGGGGAATAGAAGCTTTTTCTTTATATGCAGCTCTTCTTCACTGAAGTATATGAAAAAAAACCTAGATGTAGTCAATGACCGCTTTAAAGCCTCTTTGTGTAGTACATACCTAAACAGAAGGCAGGAGCTGTGCAGCTCTTCCTGGTCTGCACTATGTAATTATTACTAAGTTACCCCAAAACTATGAGATTTTTCCAGGGAATGCTGGTTTATTTTGTAGCAGACATCACACATGGATTTTCACCTGTGTGGGCTTTCTCAGACAAAAAAAAAAAAAAACCAAAAAAACGTAGGGCTTTAATGCAAAGCAGTGATGTATCTAGATTAAAAATTACAACATAGTATTGTTTCTTCAAACCACTAGATGCTCATTATCTAAAGGTAAATTTGAAAGTGAACTTATTTCTTATCTGTTTGCTTGGTGTGCCACTGAAGTACAGACTTAAGTTGCTGCTAAAAAATGTATGACAAATAGGGTATACTCAAAGTCGTGTACTTTATAAATCCTTCAGTTAAAAAAAAAGTCTGTGCTATTAAAAAACATTTGAACCACACATGGACTGGATATAAAATAATGTTATTGGGTTGGGTTTTTTTGGTGGTGTTTTGTTTTTTTTTTTAAATGTACAATCCTGTAATTAGAAGAAAGAAGTAATGATAAGGAGACTTTGCACGTCACGCTTGTGGTTTACTTCTTTTATCACTTAATCCAGACCCATTGTGATGGAAGTGGCATTGTCTTCCATGGACTTGAACATATTGAGTCATTTTCTATAAAAGCTGGTGGTCATGTCCTATTTTTATGTCCAAAGAAGGAAGTTACTATTTTCTAAACATAGAATAACAACAGTACTATGAGAATTTAGTCTTACAGTTTTAATCACTTTCAGATTAGTAGAAAGAGATGCTTTGGCCTGCAACATTGGTACAATAGCAGCTAATTCTCTTATTCAGTAAAAAGTACAGCTTGCTGAAGGAGACAGTTCTAGCTGTAATAAATGTTTAAATTTAGAACAGATGTGAATATACTTACTCATGAGATACAACACTCTCTTATGGAAGTGGTCTAATTAACACAGATGAGAGGGCACCACATTATTAGAGCTTTCCCTTGAACAGCCATGTCATCTGGAAAGGAATGTAGTCAGTAGCTGGGTGTGCCTTTACTCAAGGATACAGAGGCCTGGAGGAAGCAAAAAAGCACTTGTAAAGGCTGTGTGAAAAATCACTCACGTTCAGATCACTATCTGTGCAATAGCCACACATACACATACACATGCAATCATCTAATATCCAATGGTTTTAAACAAGGAAATTGCAGGGGGGGAGAAAAAAAAAAAAAAAGATATGTAATAGCTGCATAACCCTGGAGCAGGTGCTGTAATTAGCACAGCTGTCTGGGCTAGTAAAAATGCCAGCAAGTGACCCCATAAGGAAGCAGTAGAAGAATGGTACAAAAGATAGCATGGAAAATTCTTAGAGAAAGGAAGCGTAAACAAATCTCAGGAGTACTGGGTTTCCTGACCAGAAATATAGCATATGTGGGAAGAAAAAAAAAAAAAATCAGCAAGAAGGAGATCTGCCTAGCTAATGGAAACACAAGCAGGAAATGTAAGGAAAAGTAAATGACAGGGAATATTTGTTGAAGCAAGGAAATCAGGAAATGCACAAGCAAGATCTGTTCCATAGACCTGGCTGATTCTAATCCGGAGTTCATGTACAACCTCTGCATTACCGTTAAATGTTGCACTGATAAAGGGACAGCGATTGTTCAAGAGCCAGGTCCAAGCTCTGATGCCAAAAATGATGTTCAGAACAGTTCATGATACTTCTTAGAAATAAGTAAGTTTAAAAAAAACATAGATTACTTGCCTAAGACTTTTCTACTGTGGATTCTTGTTGCGGAGGAGGATGTATTCTTATCAGTCATCATAATCCGGAGTCTGTCCAAAGTGCAAAAATAAAATGAAGAAATGCTTTACTAAAATAAAGTTGTACATTTGCATAACCAATGTGTGATATCTGTATGTATGTAATCATAAAAGCTGACATTTTCTATTGTAAAAACCAACAGTGAAGTTGGAAAGCAAACATCATTCTTTACAGATGCAGCTACTGAATGTACTGCAGCTACAGATGCAAATTCTGGTCACATCACTATTCAAAAGGTGTTCCAAGTGCACCAAGCAAATGAGACAAGATTAAATAAAAATGTATTACATTTACTTTATAGAAGCTTAGGGAATGCATTTTGATAGTAGCTGTGGCTTCTAGTACAGACTAAATAGAGGACAAGCAACTGTTTACAAGAGGTCAGGATAGATCCATGAAATGTCACAGCTGTATCTGAAAGCACCTATGGATAGTGAGTTGGAAAGATTTATGATACAACTCAGCACCAAAATCGTACCTGTCAGCAAAGCACTAAGCATTACCTAAACCACAACAGAATAGTTGCGGGCCATGTCACTACGAATGCTCCCTTCCTTTTTTCCCCATTGCCATAGCATCACTGAAGTGTGCTATGGAGATCGTATGTGAACTAATTTAAGCATCAGTTTGCCTCCAGAAATTAGTATCACCCATGAACTTTATGAACAATGGTTTTAGAGCAAAGCTGATCAGGTTTACACAAATTCAGTTGCATCAGGAGAGAAACTGCTTCGAGTTTCCTTGAACACTGAAGTGACGCCCCATGTAACTGCACTGCCTGACAGGAAGGGGCAGCTGCTCCGCCTGCGGCGGCCCCCATCAATTGCCGGGCCATGCAGCTGCACCCGGCAACGGACCACCCGGTTCTGCAGGCACAGAGCAGGGCTCCGGCGGAGCGGAGTGGGTCCGCGGTCGTCGCGCTCACCCGGAACGCCCCGCCTGGCGGCCCTGGCACCGCCTTCCTGGTCCTGCTAACTTCGTGCGGGACTAGAGTGTGGCGGCGCGACCAGAAGGACAAAGGGGGTGCGAACACAGGACCCGCCGCGCTCTGAGGGACAGTCCGTAGCCCCGGCGTCCCAAGGGCTCCTCTGTTGCTCGGCGAGACCACCCCCGTCCCTCAACGGCTTCGAGCGCCCAAAGTTTCACGGCAGTTGCATAACTGCGGGCGGGGCAGGGGCCGGGCCGAGTGCTGAGAGGCGGGCGGGAGGGGCCGGCGCTGCCTTCGTCCCACTGCTGCCCGGCGCGGCCCGGCCCGGCCCGCGGGCTGACCCGCCCGCCCGGGACACCAACGCTGCTGGCGGGGGCGCAGAGGCACTCATCGCCCGCCCCGGCAGAGCGGCGCCACCCCTGAAGAGCCGTCCGCCTGGCTCCGAAGGGCACGTCCTCGGCGGTGGCCTGCAGCGGGGCCGGCGTCGGCTGCTGCCTGCTCCAGAGCCGCCTGCTCCCGACGGGTGGAAAATGAATCCCGCTCCTGCGGCTCCGCCACCAGGGCAGCAGGTGATCCACGTCACGCAGGACCTGGACACGGAGCTGGAGGCGCTTTTCAACGCGGTGATGAACCCCACGCCCAGCTCCTGGAGAAAGAAAATACTGCCTGAGTCTTTCTTCAAGGAGCCCGACTCGGGCTCGCACTCGCGGCAGTCGAGCACGGACTCGGGCGCGCCCCCCCTGCGGCCCGCCGCCGCGCAGCATGTCCGTTCCCACTCCTCGCCCGCCTCGCTTCTGGGCTCGGGGGCCGCGCAGCAGCACGCGCACCTCCGCCAGCGCTCCTACGACGTGACGGACGAGCTGCCGCTGCCGCCCGGCTGGGAGATGGCGCTCACGCACACGGGACAGCGGTACTTCCTCAAGTGAGTAGGGGTCCCAGGCCGGAGGCCGGTTGCCGTGGCTTGGTCCGCGCTGAGGGAAGGAGGGAGGGAGGGAGAGTGGTCGGCCAAGTTTCACGCCGACCAGCCGAGGGTAGAGGGGGTTGCTGTGCTGGCCCTGAGGCGAGGGCGCCGGGGGTTTCCAAGTGTGAGGTAGATGTGGAATCCGAGGGGGAGGGAACGTCTTCCCAGTGCAGCAGTGGGAAGAGGAGAGAGCGGGGTGAAGCGAGGCGCTGGCGGGAGGGTAGTTACCGGAGCATGTGAACTGTTGGGCTGCACAGCTTCCCTGCTTGGCTAGGCGTCCCAGATTCATTAATAAAAACTTATTAAAGTTTTTTTAAAAGTGAGTTTAATAGCAGTTGTTCCCGGGAGTTTTCCAGGAGGTGGGACCGGGGCACTCTGTGCCGGTGCCCCGTTCGAGGTGAAGTAGGCTCGGTGGGAGGGACTGCGTAACGCGGGCTCCCGGGTCTCTAGCTCGGTTCTAACCGCGAACCCGTTGTGCTCGGGTCGTGGGTGGCTTTTCACAAACGGAATGCACGGCTGCAGCACAAGTGGTGTGTATGTGTATTTATAGCATCCATATCTTTAGGGACACGGGAGGAGTCTTCCTTATTTTAGTGACAGATTTGGAGAAGTGTAACATAACTGCCTATCCCTTCTGGCCAGAAATTTTGGCTACCGTGTTATTTATGACATTTGGAATTTGATCTGAAGCAGTTTAATAGGCCTGAAAATATGTAGTAATTGTAAAATGTGCTTAGGACACAGTGCCTTGTTTTGGTAGATTCTGTATCTGCTTCAGATTCATTGCGAATTAAATGGCACTGTGTTAACCAGGTAAATACACAGTGACAAAATGTTTGCTAATGAAATAAAACGTTTGCTGATGGAGCATGTACCCAAGGATACTGAGGGAGTTAAACTGCCAGGGCTACAGGAGATTATTCACTCATTTGCTACAGCCCTTAGTCAGAATAATATTATCTTGAGTTCATATTCAGCTTTGTGTTCAGCCATAATAAATAGCATATAGACAAGGCATGAGGGGAAAGAAAAAGGATATTTACTGTGTAGAGAAAATACATGCGTAAATTGCATGATTCTATAATGATTTCTTTGCCTTGTTGCTTTGGAATTTCCAAATGATTACTCAAGACCCCAGTCTTTGAATTACTCTGCACAGAGTTTAGATTTTTTTATCTCTTGTCACGCTCTGAGCGACTAGCAAAGCAAAAAACTATGTTTCCTTTCTTTCTGCCATTCTGTATGTTACTGTATGTGATCTATAATATTGAGTGAACATGTGCCAGCATCCAAACTTAGAAGTTTTTATTAAAAAGTTTTATCATCAGGTTTATCTCCTGAATGAGAGGATCATGTTGCTCTGCACTTTACATGTATTTTTCTCAGTAGAACAGGACAGAGAAGTGGCTGACTGACAGGAGCACTGTAAGAGATCATTTGTAAATAAATATTTCATATAAATTCTTTCTAGGGCTTGGCCAGCAGGTGTTTTCAAATACCTCTGGCTAAAAACTACATAACATAGTATGTCTGGTTTTTTTTTATTGACTAATAGTCAAAATGAGCTCTTGTGGTTTCACTTTCATGTCACACATGTCTGAAAAAGAGACTTTTCCAAGTTGATGGATTCTTGTTGCTTAGGCTGAAAATGCAAGTTCTCTTTAAAGAACAGTTGGTGGGTAAAACCCCAGAGTGTCTTTAATTTTTTTCCAAATCCTGTCAACAGTAATAGTCTGATTATCATAATCCTGTTTTAATATAAAAGTTTAATTGTATATGTAATTTGTTATTTTAACTTTGTCTTTATTTTGTTTGCCCAGTTTTATTTATCCAACAGAACTTTCCTCATTTCTATAAAAATTAATTTGAATAATGTATTTCTTTATACTCCAGTACTTTTGGGAGTAATACTTAACCATAAAATGATCATATATGAACTATAATATTTTATGAGTGGTCTAATATTTTTCAGATGAAACTAGAATTTTCTGCAGAAATTTAAGAGTGTTTATGGAAAGCAGCATTTAACCCAATGTATTATTGCGCATAGTTTTCAAGTCAGATGATGTGCTTGAAAATCCCAGCTGGTCAAACGAGGCATACAAGGTTACATTTTCCTATTTTCAAGGGAAAAGAAAATTTGCCATTTCTTTCCAAGTTAAATTATTCATAAAGATTTTTTTATAGTCATTAGCAAAAGAAAATTGAAAAGCAAATTAAGATTAGCTAAATTAGGTCCTGTTAAAGTTCAGAATGCAGTTTATTCTATTTAAATATACTTTGAAGAATTATTAAACAAAAGCAGTGCTGGGAGTTTCAGTAAAGAGTGAGCTAACCTTACTGACAGGGAACCAGCTATAACTTCAAGCGGTCGCACTCCTGCATGTCAGCTCCTGCAGAAATTTTCTGGCTGTGACTGGAAGAAACATAAGTAGCCTGGGGACCACTCCACCCTGTAATTAAATACCAAACCGCAGAAGTGGGGGGTGGAAAACAGACTAATGAACACACGCACACTTACAGCAGTGTTATCTAAAGCATTTTTCTGTGTGTGCATGTGTGGAAAAAAATTTAAGTGTGATGTATTTCTGATAAAAATGGTTTCTGGAAGGACAGTCAAACTGCCTTGCATAACTCTTGTGTCGGTAAGTGGGAATATCACTTGCCTGTCGATCCACATGCTAAGCTGTGTACACATATTCTGTAGAAAGAATTTTTCAAGTATTACTTTCCACTGATTTTGTCTTCAGGTGGTTCAGACTCATATTTCAAATGAAGACTAAGGTTTTAATGTTCTCTCAGTGTGTGCACAGTGCTTCTTGGTCAGACTGATTTCATTCCAGAAGGTAAACAGAATATAGAGAGTACAGCAGCATTTGCACTGGGGAGATTTGTGAAACTATTGGTGCTGTTACTTTTATCACACTGCAGTTTTTTAAATGTTACAGTGAACATTTGTCATACCAGGACATATTTGCCAGTAGATCCTGCTCAAGGGGGAAGAAAGCTAATTACTTTCAATATTTGATTTGCTCAACATGTTGCATTTTTTTTTCTCCTGGTTTCTGTTGGTGGAGAAGCTTGATTTAACACGTGATCAATTTTATATGGACAACATAAAAAGTAATACTTTTTTACTGACAATGACAAAACGAACCATATGAAGATAGTTCAAGTGCTCAAATGATTTCCAAATACAGCTTTTCCCTGAAAGCTTTTTCTGTTAATTCTCTAGAGATTATTATTTTATATTGATGTTGTGCATGGTACTGCACAGTATTCATAATCAAGATACTTTTCTGCCTCAGGAATGGTAGTTACCCAACTAGAAATCAGGGAGGAGATGGACAATGCATAAGGCAGTTACTCTGTTAAGTTCTGATAAAAATGTAGAAAAAGCTAACCATGTATGACACCTTTACAGTATTGTTCAACAGATATTACCACAGTTGCTCATGGATGTAATGCGTGTGCTGTAAGGTTGGGCTCACATGCTGACATTCTAGAATGCCATGCTTTCAAATTAAATGGTGGAACACGAAGTGGCCTAGTAATTTATGGAGAGAGCTTTGTAACTATATACACTGATTTTTAAAAATCAGAATGTCAGAAAATTTTAATTTATTAGTGGACCGCATTTTGGTTCATGAGCTTAAAATTCTGTTTTGGTTTAATACAGGTTTTTTAGAGGTAGCTGCATTTGTTGTTAAAGTTACATGAGTGTGTAAACAGATGCAGATTTACTTACAATGACAATGGCCTTATAGCAGAAATCCAGTGATGTGTTAAAAACTATTTCTAGGGTCTTTGGTTGGTCCTATTCAGAGCTAGGTTATGTTTTATTGCCTGGTAGGGATCTATTTCAGATGTTGACCAAAGAGAGCTGGTGAAAAGAGCAAAACATATTTTAAGTTACTGTAGTGTAGACTGACTCTACAGGTCTGCAGCTAGAGTGATGGATTGTGTTCATTGATAATGGCCATAAATGGGGATTTAATGAAGTCTGCTTCAAGTCCTAGCAGTAGGATCTGCCTGGTTTAAGCTTATAATTTACCGTGAGGTGAAAAAAGTTATTAATGTGTTTAACTTTGTGGAAATTAAAGTTTTTCTTCCCATTAACAGTTACAAATATTTGGAATAGATTAAAATTGGACTGATTCATTGGAATAATTTTTGACCTGGATAGGCAAATAACTTCATTTGATACAAATTTGTTAAGCCACTTTCTTTGAAAAGAAAAAGTAAGCTAATTTCTATGTTGATGTTAGAGTCCCTCTTAAAAGCTTAAAAAAACTACCAAGCTATTTATGAGCTACTTTTTTTTCCCTCTGTATTTGGCAGTAGAAACAGTAACACTTTCTGATGAAAACTAAAAGTTACTCATTTTCTTGTCCGCCATAGTGTTGTCTCATGATCAATAGACTATTTTCTCAGAGTCTAATCATGTCACCTGTGATGCTTAATAAAATTGGGTGGATAATGTGGTGCTTTAAATGTAGTGCTTAATAAAATCTGAGAACAAAAGCGGATCTGCAGTGACATTCAAGGACACATTTGATTTACAGATGTGATCTAATTCTCTCGTCAGGTTTTCTGAGTTAGGATGCATGCTACATTTTTGATTTAGTTGTAAAGTGTCATTGAAGAAATCTTTAAGGAAGGCTACGCTGAGTCTAGAAATGTTACCAAGAAGAGTTTCCTTTGAGGAAATATTTAAGAAACTTACTGTAAAGGATGCTCTCCACACAAAAGCTGCACTGAATTTAGGTGTATGCACCTAAATGATATGAGGAAATTGGTGACAACTCTGCTATACACACTATTGTGTTGATGCAGAGTTTGCTATATTGGACTGATGTACATGTCTAAGCTAATAAATTAATAATGTGCATGCAGAATTGCATAGATTTAATGAAATTTATCTTGAATGTGGTGAATGAACTGTGGTGTTAGTGTTAAAG